TGTAGAAAAAAAGTGAATCAAATCCCTGCAAACCTGATAACCAACTACAAGAAACGTCTTACCTCTGTTCTTGCCAACAAGGGTTTCTCCACCGAGTACTAAGTCATGTTTTGCTTGGGGATCAAATACTTATTTTTACTCACTGAACTGAAACTAAACGTATAACATTGCATTATTTGTTTTTTCTGGATTTTTGGTTGATATTCTGTCTCTATCATTTAAAATACACCTATGATAAAAATGATAGACCCCTCATTTTGTTTGCAAGTGGGCAAACTTACAAAATCTGCAGGGGTCAAATAAATATTTTCCTTAGAGTGTGTGTATGTATGTATTTATATGTGATGTATATATACATTGAAGGAGATAAGTATTTGATCCCCTGCTGATTTTGAATGTTTGCCCACTCACAAAGAAATGATCAGTATAAAAAAAAAATCGAATGGTAGGTGTATTGTAACACTGAGAGACAGGGAAATAAGTATTTGATCCCCTATCATTCAGCAGGATTTCTGGCTACCAGGTGTATTCGCAAATGGAAGAAACACAGAACAACTGTCAGTCTCCCTAGGTCTGGTGCATCATGCAAGATCTCACCTCGTGGAGTGTCGTTGATCATGAGAACAGTGAGGAATCATCCCAGAACTACACGTGAGGGTCTTGTCAATGATCTCTAGGCAGCTCAGACCACAGTCACCAAGAAAAGAATTGGTAACACACTACGCCAACAAGGATTGAAATCCTGCAGTGACCGCAAGGTCCCTCTGCTCAAGAAAGCGAATGTCCAAGCCCGTCTGAAGTTTGCCACTGAACATCTGAATGATGCAGAGGAGGACTGGTTTAAAGTGTTGTGGTCATATGAGACCAAAATAAAGCCCTTTGGCATCAACTCAACGTGTTTGGAGGAGGAATGCTGCCTCTGACCCCAAGAACACCATCCCAACTGTCAAACATGGTGGTGGAAACATTCTGCTTTGGGGGTGTTTTTCTGCTAGGGGGACAGGGCAACTGCACCACATCCCTAGGTCTGGTGCACCATGCAAGATTTCTCACCTCGTGGAGTGTCAATGATCATGAGAACAGTAAGGAATCATTCCAGAACTACACGCGAGGATCTTGTCAATTATCTCCAGGCAGCTGGGACCACAGTCACCAAGAAAACAATTGGTAACACACTACGCCGATAAGGATTGGAAACCTGCAGTGCTCGCAAGGTCCCTCTGCTCAATAAAGCACATGCCCAGGCCTGTCTGAAGTTTGCCACTGAACATCTGATGCAGAGGAGGGCTGGTTGAAAGTGTTGTAGTCAGATGAGACAAAAATTGAGCTCTTTGGCATCAACTCAACTCACAGTGTTTGGAGGAGGAGGAATGCCTATGACCCCAAGAACATTATCCCAACTGTCATACATGGTGGTGGAAAGATTCTGCTTTGGGGGTGTTTTTCTGCTCATGGGACAGGACAACTGCACCACATCCAAGGGACAATGGACGGGACAATGTACCATCAAATCTTGTGTGAGAACCTACTTCCCTCAGCCAGGATATGAAAATGGGCCGTGGATGGATGTTCCAGCATGGCAATGGTCTCCAGACCTTAATCCGATTGAAAATATGTGGAGGGAGCTGAAAGTTCGAGTTGCCAAACGTCAACCACCAAGAGAGTGGGCCAAAATCCCTCCTGAGATGTGTGCAAACCTGGTGGCCAACTACAGGAAACGTCTGACCTCTTTGATTGCCAACAAGGGATTTTCCACCAAGTACTAAGTCATGCTTTGTGAAGGGGATCAAATACTTATTTCCATCATGAACATGTAAATCAGTGCATAATTTGTTAGACATGCATTTATTTTTTTTGTTGCTATTCTGTCTCTCAGCGTTACAATACACCTACCATTTGATTTTTAGACTGAGCATTTCTTTGTGATTGGGCAAACATTCAAAATCAGCACTGGATCAAATACTTATTTCCTTCAGTGTATAGGTTGACCTTTGATATGTATGAGCGTTTTTTCTTTACCATGGTTATCAATGCTGGACTGTGCTTCATCCTTTCTTCATCTAGAGAGGTTTCGGATCTACCAGCATTTTATTATCCGATTTGAATATATTTGGGATGTTTCTGTGGTGATTTAGCCCTATGGCAACATAGCTGAGCAACCTGTCCCTTCCTGTAGGTTGGGTAAAGTGAACTACAAGAAGATGGTTGATGTCAGACCTTGAGAATCCTTGAGAATGTCCATTTGGATGACACTAGTTGGGGTGAAATTTCAGTGCCGACGTTGCACCGCTGTACAATCCTGGGTCATCAGTGGGTTTTCTCAGTGTGTTTTTTACTTTTTTTTTCCCACTGTCACTTTAGCGGCTACCCGAGTTTGACAGGAACCCTCTCCCACTTCCGCTGTGATCGCCTTGTCCTCCCTCGTGACAGTTCCAAGACTACGGGGCCATTCACAAATCGCAGCTTCTCGCGCATGCGCAGTGGGCACTGGCAAGGAGAGAAGACTGCCAGTGAAACCAGCGGTGGGAAGGACACCACTAGACCGAGGGACAGGAAGGTGGCTGTATTTTAAACAGTTTTTGTAGCTGCTGACTTTTATGGGGGGTTTTTTCCAGCTGGAACACCACTTTAACTACCTCAAAGAGGGCCAATTGTGACATTTCTCTCATACATGTAAAAATCTGCATTTTTTTTTTTTTTTTTTGCTAGAAAATTACTTCCCTAGAGAATAAAATGGCAACATTTCTGGAAAGGTAAGTTTAAGTGAACACTAAACACAATAGAATACTCAATTCTTTGATAAAATATGGAAGTTATGCTGAGTAAATGAATACTGGGTTTTTTTTTTTTACTGGCGAGGAGTACTGATAACTTTGTGGTGCAATTTGAGCTCAAATCGCACTGAAAGTATTGCATGCAATTTGAACAGGAATGCGGTGTGATTCCTCTGTCAGCTCTTGTGTGAACACAGGCACGTCATAGTGACTGAGACTGAGTTCACACGAGTGGTGCAGGAAACCTCCATACATGACAGGTTCCACTAGCGAAGCTCCTTCTCCCAATACGGCTGCAGCTTGGGCTCCTTCTGCCTGCCCCACGGCTTTATTCCCTGCATCTCCAGTATCTCTCTCCCCCCAGCCCCTAGCGGTTCGAGCCATCCACTGGACTCCCCACCCATCCCCTCCAATCACGCTGTCCTAGATTACCGCAATCCCCCACTGCCACACATTGAAAAATGGCTTTACCGGTTTGGGGATTTGAAACCCCCGCGGCTTAATCTCCTATCTGTCTTGCTTAGCCAGTATAGACCCAAGGGATTTTAACTGGTTAGCACCATCAGATGAACAGTGCTAACCAATCAGAAGCAGTCTAGCCTGTACTGTCAAACACTGCGAGGAGAGGACAGAAAGCCACCAGTATTTCAAATCCCTGGACCAGTAAAGAGGCTTTTCAGTGTCTGACAGTGGGGGATTGTGGCATTGAGGGGGATTGAGGGGGTCCAGTGGTTGGCTCGAAATGCTAGGGCTGGGGGAAGAGAACTGCTGTAAATGCAGCAAATAAAGCCATGGGAGAGGCAGGAGAAGCCCAAGCTATAGTCAGATCGGGAGCCGGAGCTTTGCTTGTGCAACTTGTCATGCAGGGAAGTTTCCAGCACAACTCCTGTGTGAACTCAAGCTCAAAGCAACTATGGCAAGTCTGGGTTCACAATCGCACTGCATTCCTATATAAATCGTATGCAATTCTTTGCAGTGTGATTTGAGCCCATTCATTTTGTATCAGGTGCATTTGCAGGAGTACAAATGCAAGTACTCGGTATTGGCACTGATGTTCGCTGCGATACCTCACATGTGTGGGTGTGATTGCCACTTATATATATACATGTGGGACCTAAATTTGCAATTACATTTGAGCATGAAGAACGAGGCTGTTAGACCCTCTCCTCTGGCCTCCAAAGCATCTGATCAAACCAAGATCAGTTTGATTGGTTGCTTTACAAGTCGGTAAAACAAACAAACCGAAACTAGAAGTGACTAAATCCTTGCCACTTCTAGTTTCTGACATCACAGAAGAGGGTAAGGAAGATTCACTGTTTACAGTGTATGTGATCCACACATACAGTAATATATATTTGTGATATGAAAACCTGTAGGACAACACCGAAAATACTAAAAAAAAAAAAAAAAAAAGTAACCCGTTTCTGTATCTGATTATACTATCAGTACTTTTAGTTTTTGGAGCCAAAGAGTTTACTTTAGCAGCTGCTTTTTTTACTTGCTGTGCTGCATGGGGAAAATACAGATTACCTGAGATTCTTTACAGAATTCTGCATAAAAAGAGGCACATACTTTAGCTGTCAGGAAGGTTACAAAGTAAAGGGGGCCAAGTACTCCCCCATATCCAGAAGCAACAGGTATTTTCACAGACACTGTCACTTTGCTCTAATGGGCAACACTCTTTTTAAACCATTTGTTCAACAAAGATCTGGCAAAGAAAAATGTCAGTTGTGCTGTTTTATTTACCGTGATTGGATTGATCACATTTTAGGAGCCAAACATTTGGAAATTAACAACATTCCCAATGGTTACACACTTTTTACAATTGTGCTTTTTTTAAAGCAAATAACAATGATGTTTTTCAGTCGGACTATGTTTAGCAGACACTGGGCTCCAAAGGATGTCACTAGTTTGTAATCCATTTACTTTGAAACGGACACGGTGTTATGGTCAAAACCAATTGTTTCGAAACCATCCAAGGATGGCTTTTTAAAAGGTTTGTGTTATTTTAACCAAAGAGAAGCCTTACCACTACAAAATCTGGCTTTTTACACTGTAGTGCAGTGCTATGTGTTTGTGAATGCTACAACATGCCTTTTGGAAAAGTCCAAATTTTCACTTGGCCTACCTTTGAAATGGTGGCTCATAGGGAAAACAAAGCTTGCCATTACAATAAGTGTACGAAAAATACATACCACATTAAGAAAGGAGATTAAGTGAACTCACCATTGTTTGCGGCTAACATGTCAATCATTCGACCTGGGGTACAAACTATTATCTCTGCACCTCGTTTTAATTCAGCAATCTTTAAGAAAAACAAAAAACAAAAAATGCTCAGCAAAAGCACATAAAAAAACATTTATTAAAGTGAACCTGTGCCCAGGTTATGCACACAAAAGCATTTACATTTTCTAAACAAGCAGTAAAAGGCATTTGTTTTAAACAAGCCCTCATTTGCCTCTGTGGTCCGCATGCTAGCCCTCTAATATAAAATAGAGCAGGCGTTTCTACCCAGAGTCTTTGTTGCTTCGTTCACACCATACGTGCAGAAAAACTGATAGAAACTGACATTATTATTAATATTATACAGTATTTATAAAGCGCCAATAGTTCACTCAGCGCTGTACATTACAAAGGGGGACAGAACATGTGACAGAACAATACCAATACAATGCAAAACATGAGGGGATTGAGGGCCCTGCTCTTTCAAGCTTACAATCTAGGAGGGAGGGGATAGTGGTACAGGAGGAGATAGCTGTGGGGGATGGAGTGGTAGGAAGAGTGGAGGAGGTCGGCAAGTTAGCAGGGGGTGGGGTAGGCTTCCCTGAAGAAATGGGTTTTCAGGGTGCGCCTAAAGGAGAGGAGAGTAGGTGATAGTCTGATGGGTTGGGGCAGGGAGTTCCAGAGGATAGGTGACACCCTGGAGAAGTCCTGGAGGCGGGCATGGGAGGAGGAGACCAGGGAACTAGAGAGAAGGAGGTCTTGTGAGGAGCGGAGTGTGCGTGCTGAGCGGTACTTGGATATTAGGTCAGTGATGTAGTTCGGGGCAGTATGGTGGACAGCTTTGTACGTCAGTGTTAGGATTTGAATTTGATCCGATGCGCAATCGGAAGCATGCAGATTTCACTTGCAGAGACAGCAGTTTACATCCATCATTCGCGCTGCAATGATTTTTATACACGTTCCAGATTTCTGCGCAGAAAAAAATCTGCATGAGATACTAGTGTTGTGGTGTGAACAGGGCACATAGAAAATAACGGATTTTGTTGTGCCCTTGCAGACTGCGTGCAGCAAAACTCTGCACCATGATGTGAATGAGCCCAAAATCAGACCTCAATGGCAGAAAAACAACTGAACAAGTCAAAGGAGAGATCATCCTTCCCCAGCTTAAACAGGGTTTTCATGTTACAGTGAAGGAAATAAGTATTTGATCCCCTGCTGATTTGAATGTTTGCCCACTCACAAAGAAATGATCAGTCTAAAAATTGAATGATAGGTGTATTGTAACACTGAAACAGAATAGCAACAAAAAATTCAAAAGAAATGCATGTCTAACAAATTATGCACTGATTTGCATGTTCATGAGGGAAATACGTATTTGATCCCCTTTACAAAACATGACTTAGTACTTTGTGGCAAATCCCTTGTTGGCAAGGTTTGACAGTACATTGCCCCGTCCATCGTCCCTTGGATGTGGTGCAGTTGTCCTGTTCCGTTAGCAGAAAAACACCCCCAAAGCAGAATCTTTCCACCACCATGTTTGACAGTTGGGATAATGTTCTTGGGGTCATAGGCAGCATTCCTCCTCCTCCAAACACGGTGAGTTGAGTTGATGCCAAAGAGCTCAATTTTTGTCTTATCTGACTACAACACTTTCAACCAGTCCTCCTCTGCATCAGATGTTCAGTGGCAAACTTCAGACGGGCCTGGACATGTGCTTTATTGAGCAGAGGGACCTTGCGAGCACTGCAGGTTTCCAATCCTTATGGGCATAGTGTGTTACCAATTGTTTTCTTGGTGACTGTGGTCCCAGCTGCCTGGAGATAATTGACAAGATCCTCGCGTGTAGTTCTGGAATGATTCCTCACTGTTCTCATGATCATTGACACTCCACGAGGTGAGATCTTGCATGGTGCACCAGACCTAGGGAGACTGACAGTTGTTTTGTGTTTCTTCCATTTGCGAATGATTGCACCAATTGTTGTCAGCTTCTCACCAAGATACTTGGCAATAGCTTGGTAGCCCAGTCCAGCATTGTGTAGGTCTACAGTCTTGTCCCTGACATCCTTGGACAGCTCTTTGGTCTTTGGCATGGTGGAGAGTTTGGAATCTGATTGTTTGATTGCTCCTGTGGACAGGTGTCTTTTATACAGGTAACAAAATTAGATTAGCAGCACTCCGTTTAAGAGACCGCTTCTAATCTCAGCTTGTTACAAGTATGAAAGACACCTGGTAGCCAGAAATCCTGCTAAATAATAGGGGATCAAATACTTATTTCCCTCATGAACATGCAAATCAGGGCATACTTTGTTAGACATGCATTTCTTTTTTGTTGCTATTCTACCTACCACTCGATTTTTAGACTGATCATTTCTTTGTGAGTGGACAAACCTTCAAAATCAGCAGGGGATCAAATACTTATTTCCTTCACTGTATACAGGTTGCGCACAACAAAGCAGTGAATGCTTAACCACATTAGGACCCACCTGCTCGTCTCGATAACCTGCACTTTTTGTGTAGGGTTTTTTGGTGCTATTTCTGTACAACAACCTATGCACTTGAATGGGCTGCTCTACCTGTGGAAAAGTAGCTCATGAAGCATTCTGCCGTTTTCCAGTTTGCATGTTTTACAATGTATTTCCTAGCTACAACTGCGGTGTATTTCACAAAAATGGTACCATAAGTGCGACACGTGTTTTTCGAACATTCTAGAAACACATTCCTGGAATGCACAGATGTGAATGGAGCTTTAATATTGGAAATCTGAATGACATGGAGTCCTGTTGTATATTTGTACAACACACACCTAAAAAAATTAAACCTGACCAGGAAAGGTTCCATTATTATGTACCCGATATAGCAAGTGGGACAATAAAAGGAACTCTGCTCTGCCCCTCCAACGCTGACTGGAGCACAAGGCTGTGAAGAAGGCGGCTGGCTCAGACTCTCAGCGGCATGCTGAGAGGCTGGGTCAGCTGCTAAATCAGGCATCTGGGTGGATTCAGACATTGTTGGGATCCCTGCAGAGCCTGGACTGGCTTTGACATCAGCTGACAGCAGGTGCTAGCACTCCTGTTACCCAGAAAAGAAGGCCAAAAAAATCTTTGGCCATAAGTCGATTTAAAGAAAAGGACTTCCGAGGTAGCAGTCTAAAATACTGTCTGTACATCGGGCCACACCAGAGAGGCAGCAGGAGCTTAGAGAGGTAAATAAGTGGCTCAAGAACTGGTGCAAGGAGGAGGGTTCTGGGTTTATGGAGAACTGGACTAACTTTGGGGTTGGTTACCGGCTATACAGCAGAGTCAGCCAGCACTTACATGGGGAGGGCACAGCAGCTCTGTTGGGGGAGAAGATGGCCAGAAGTTTGGAGAAGCCTTTAACCATTTGCCGCCCGTCCTATGGCTGAATGGCGGACGGCAAATGTCATCGGCGTCCTCCCGCACATGTGCAGATTGCGCTCCTGCACTTCAAAAAAACTCGCCATGCCTCTTATGAAGTACGTCGGACTGTCTACTTTGCAAAAAGGGGTCAATTGGGGGATATCTGTACTGTTCTGACATTCTTGGACCTCAAGAAATTAGATTGGCTGCTAGTACTTCAGGATTGATCAATATTCAGATCTAAACCATAGTTTGTGAACTCTATAACTTTCCTACAAACTAAAAAATACATCCTAATTTGGGTTATTTTCACCAAAGACATGTAGTAGAATATATCTCGGCCTAAATTTATGAAGAACAATTATTAATTTGCAAACTTTTATAACAGAAACAAAGAAAAATGTTTGTGTTTTTTTTTTTGTTAATTTAGCAAAAAATAAAAACTCCAGTGGTGATTAAATACCACCAAAAGAAAGCTCTAGTTGTGTGAAGAAAATGATAAATTTTAGTGCCTGGGCCGGAAGGTGTAAAATTGCTCAGTATTGAATTGGTTAAACAAAGGTGTGTAGGTGTGTGTGTGTTGAACAAAGGTTAAGTGCCAGAGGTGTGCAAAGAAAAAAAAAAATAACATGTACAAGTACAAATAAAAAGGCATGTACAAATGCTAGACATCTGGATAATAAAATGAAAGAACTAGAACTTCTGATACATGAGGAGAATTTTGATTGTGGGAATATCAGAAACCTGGTTTGACAGTACATGTGGCTTGCAACTGTCTATGGGTACTCTCTGACAGGACAGGCAGAAGAGGAGGGAGGGGTGTGCCTGTATGGCCTGATGGTGAATATGATGGATGACATTGCTAACGGGCTAGATCCAGAAGATGGAGTACACATTTGGATATGCATCAGATATAACACTTTACTGAAGAGAAATCTTACATTTATAGTTTAGTTTCCAGCCAATGATACAAGTAGAACATATTCCTTTCCTGAAGGATCATATTTAGGGACTTTTTGCACCACGTTTTTGCTCATAGCCAATATTACAGAATCCGGGATCCGTCTCACACAATTTACAAGTTCAAGGATAAATGAGAATGTTAAATACATTTGCAATATTGACAGGGTGGTATGGAGCCTAGGATTGATTTTGTAATTGTCTATATGTATAATAAAGCGTTTTTTTTTTTTTAATATAATGCATTAGTTTGATCAGGGGTCTCCAAACTATTGCCCTCCAGCTGTTGAAGTACTACAAATCCCATCATGCCTCTGCCTCTGGGAGTTTTGCCTGTGGTTGTCAGAGCCTTGCAAGGCCACATGGGACTTGCAGAACCTCAACACCTGTGCAAAACCATTGCACAGAGCAGGTGTGACAAACCGTCCCTTTGTGATACCATTTTGCCCTTTCTGTTCTGGTTTTCTTCCCTTTTTAAAGCTGGACATGTTTCACAGACATTCTACACTGTTTGTTTAGGGTAATGTGACCTTGTAGTCATTCACCTCTAATAGAGTTTATACTGTATTGTTGTATTGTAGGGTTTGTTGTGGGTGGGGAAAACCTGGTGCCAGGCTGCCTGGTGGGGTGAAGTTGCATATACTGAACTGTGTTTAATAAAGAGTCATTCATTTTCACCCTACACGAAGTTCAGACTCCTGTTTTGGGAGAGCAGGGAAGGGAGTGTTTTGAGCTATATTACCTGCCTTGGCAGAGCACTGGAAGCCTCGCTGGAAAAGGGGACCATTGGCTGAGACGCACTGCTCCGCATGAGGAAGCCCAGGCGGAACGGTTCCGCCACAGCAGGTAAGTATGATACGTTTTGTTATTTAAAAAGGAACCTTTAGTATCACTTTAATGTTGATAAATGTAAAGTTATGCTCTTGGGGCTAAAAGAATTCATCATACAAAGGAGAACAGCTTGGAAAGTCAATGGTAGTGAAGGATCTGGGTGTTCTGGTAGATCATAGACTAAATAGTACAAGTCTTTGGTAACACCTCATCTGGAATATGCAGTTCAATTTTGGCCACCAGTTCCCAAAATGTATATTGGGGAACTGAAGAAAGGGCAGAGAAAGGCAACCAAACTGATAGGAGATATGGAGGGATATATGAGGAAACATTAGCTGAACTGAATTTATTCTAGTTTGAGAAGAAGCAATTCAGGGGGGATATGATCAACATGTATAAATACATAAGTGGTCCATATAGTGAACTTGGTGTTATTCATTTTCAGGTCATTACAAAGGACAAGGGGCACTCTCTACATCTGGAGGAAAAGAGACTTAACCACCAACTAAGAAAAGGCTTCTTCACAGTAAGAGCTGTAAATATATGGAATAGACTAGCTCAAGAACTGGTTCTGGCCAGCTTAGATTTAAAAAGGAAAAAAAAAAAAAAAAAAAAAAAAAAAAAGGGCTGGATGCATTCCTAAATGCACAAAATATAAATAGATACTAAATTTTTGAAGTAATAATACCTGAGGTAGTTGATCCAGGGAATATCCGATTGCCTCATGGGGGATGAGGAAGGATTTTTTCCTCCCCACTAGAGTGAATTGGATCATGCTTTATTTTTATTTTTTTCTGCTTTCCTCCGGATTAAGTGAGTATAGGACACTATATATGGAGGATATTTGTGTGTGTTTCATTGGTTGAACTAGATGGACTAGTGTCTTTTTTTCGACCCATTTAAAATATGCATTTATAGATGGACAATTGGTTCCAGGATACAAGAGAGGGGGAAAGGAGTGTTTTTTTCTTGTATTTGGTTGTATTATCTTGGCCAGTTTTTGAGAGGGAATTTATTTGTATTGATTTACAAGGAAAATAATTTTTACTTTACAATTGATATTATTACTGGTCAGCATATCAATTTTTTAAGTTAGCAATTATTTTTTTACTTAAAGTTTTGGAGAGTTATACAATAACCAAGGGCTGGTAATTTATGTCTCGGCCAGGTTTTTATCGTTTTCCGATGCTTTAAGTTATAAATCAGCAGAGCTGAGAAAAGGAGACTGTCCTCCTAAGATACAAGCAAAAATCTGACACATACTGGTAGTAGGCATGGTTATATATAGGGCTGGCCCTCATTTTTTTTTTTGTTAGTGTCAATTCCTACTGTAAGTGAAAGTATAACCCAGAGGTATAAGATTTCTTGTGTTGCTCAAAAGATAAAGTAATTCCCTTTAACTATAAAAACAAAATGATAAAAAAGGGATCTACAGGGGGGTTAAACAAAAAAAATGGAAGCACTACATTATTTGCAAGTGTGAAAGTGATGACGTGTTTCACATTGAAAGCAGAAGTGATGTAACATTCTTTTGCTTCAGCTGTGTAATGAAACACCTAACAGGTGGGAAACCTCACTTTCGTCATTCACTGCATGCCCTCTTTGAAGCGCAGTAAGCTCTGACATGACTCCCTATTACTAGCAGCACACACAGTAAAGGACAAAAGTGAGGCTTCTCGCCTGTTAGCTAGGCGTCTCATCACAAGAATGTTACATTATTATTATTATTATTATACAGTATTTATATAGCCCCAAAAGGTTTGCCAAGCGCTGTACATTATAGTGGGGGACAGTACATGAGACAATACAGTAACAAAACAATACACGAGGGGTTCGAGGGCCCTGCTCTTTTGAGCTTACAATCTAGGAGGGAGGGGATAGTGGCACAGGAGGAAGTGGCTGTGAGGGATGGAGTGGTATGAGGAGTGGAGGAGAACGGCAGTTAGGTGAGGGTGGGGTAGGCTTCCCTGAAGAGATGGGTTTTCAGGGTGCGCCTAAAGGTGAGGAGGATAGGTGACAGTCTGATGGATTGGGGTAGTGAGTTCCAGAGGATGGGGGAAGTCCTGGAGAAGTCCTGCAGTCGGGCGTGGGTGGTGGAGACCAGGGAGCTAGAAAGTAGGAGGTCTTGTGAGGAGCGAAGATTACGGGTTGGGAGGTATTTGGGTATCAGGTTGGTGAGGTAGTTTGGGGCAGCGTTATGAATGGCTTTGTATGTCAGTGTTAGTAGTTTGAATTTGATGCATTGGGCAATCAGGAGCCAGTGGAGGGAATGACAGAGGGGGGTGGCAGAAGAGGAGCGGTTGGTAAGGTAGATGAGTCTGGCCGCTGAGTTCAGGATAGACTGAAGCGGGGATAGTCTGTGATGAGGTAGGCCGGTGAGGAGGGAGATGCAGTAGTCCAGGCGTGAGATAATGAGGGAGTGAACGAGTTGTTTAGTAGTGTCTGGGGTTAGGAACGTATGTATTTTGGAGATGTTACGGAGGTGGAGCCTGCATGAGCTTGCTAGCGATTGGACATGGGGTTGGAAGGACAGGTTTGAATCTAGAGTGACACCTAGGACTTTGGCTTGCGGGGTGGGACTGATGGTGGCGTTGTTGGTCGGGATGGAGGGGGGGGGGGGGGCGCAGGCTGGGGGAAAATTAGGAGCTCAGTTTTTGAAAGGTTCAGTTTGAGGAAGCGGAGCGACATCCAGTCTGATATGTCGTTCAACAGGTGGGTGATACGGGCAGAGACTGAAGGGGTGAGTTGAGGGGTGGAGAGGTAAATTTGCGTGTCATCGGCGTAGAGGTGATAGTTGAAGCCGTGGGAGTGTTTGCCAAGGGAGGAGGTGTAGATGGAGAAGAGAAGGGGCCCGAGGACAGAGCTTTGGGGGACCCCAACAGAGAGGGGGAGAGAGGGGGAGGTGGTAGCGTTATAGGTAACGCTGAAGGAGCGTTGGGAGAGATAGGAGAAGAGCCAGGAGAGAGCGGAGTCTCTGATGCCGAGGGAGTGTAGTTTATCGAGGAGGAGGGGGTGGTCAACTGCGTCGAAGGCCGCGGAGAGAGGGTCAAGGAGTAAGAGGAATGAGTAGTGGCCATTAGCTTTGGCGGTTAGCAGGTTATTAGTGATTTTGAGTAGGGCGGTTTCGGTGGAGTGTAGGGGATGGAAGCCAGACTGTAGTGGATCGAGGAGGTTGTTGTCAGTGAGGTGGGAGCTTAGGCAATTGTAGATTAAGCGCTCAAGGATCTTGGAAGTGAATGGCAGCAGGGAGATGGGTCTAAGGTTGTTCAGGTCAGTGGGGTCCATGGAGGGTTTTTTGAGTATGGGGGTGATGTGCGCGTGCTTTAGGGGGGAGGGGAATGCACCAGTACAGAGGGAGAGATTGAAGATGTGGGTGAGGGAGCGTAGGATGGAGAGGGAGGGTGCCCGGAGTAGTTGTGTGGGGACAGGGTCAAGGGGGCAAGTGGTGAGGTGGGCTTCTTTGAAGACCTTGGTGACCTCCTCAGTGGTGGCAAGGCTGAAGGAGCGGAGTGTTGGGGGGGTTATGGTGTGCGGGATGTTAAGGGTGGTGGGGGGCAGGGCGGTTGCGAGGTCAGAGGAGGGGAGAGTTGGAGGGGTTGTAGTGGGAGGGAGGCTAGGTGGGGAAGTAGGTGGAGCATTGGCAATGTTCTTACGGATTGCGTCGATCTTATTTTGGAAGTGAATGGCAATCTCGTGGGCGGTGAGTGAGGTACTGGGTGGGGGGGTGGGGGAGGAGAGAGTAGGGAGTTGAAAGTGGAGAAGAGCCAGCGAGGATTGGAGGAGAGGGTGTTGATGAGGGTTTACGAAGTACGTTTGTTTGGCGGCTTGGAGGGAGGAGGTGTAGGTGAGGAAGGTGGATTTGTAGAGGGAGAATGCTTGAGGGGATTTGGTTTTGCGCCATAATCGTTCCAGCGTGCGACTGCATCGTTTAATATGTTTAGTGTGGTCGTTCTGCCAGGGTTGAAGCGGTCGGGGTCTAATGCTACGTCTGGTTAAGGGTGCTAAGGAGTCTAGGGCAGCTGATAGCGTGTTATACGCAGCAGTGGCCAGGTAAGGGCATGACAGTGGACGGATACTGTCGTACAGTCGGCTGCAGAGTGGAGAGGGGCCGGGTTCAGGTTGCGGAGACTACGGCTGGTGAAGGTTTGACGTTTGGGGGGGAGGTGTTGGAGGACGGGGAGATGGAGAAGGTAATGAGGTTGTGGTCAGAGAGAGGGAAAGGGGTGTTAGTGAGGTTGTGGGGGGTGCAGAGATGGGAGAAAACGAGGTCCAGGGTGTTCCCGCCGGTGTGGGTGGAGGACTGCGTGCAAATGAAGAGGTTAAGTGGAGGAGTTTGGATGTAGCCGGGTTGTTGACATTGAGAGGGATATTGAAGTCACCAAGGATGATGGTGGGGAGCTCAGAGGAGAGGAAGAAGGGCAGCAAGGCGGAAAAGTCATCAAAGAAGCGGGATACGGGTCCAGGGGGAAAATAGATTACTGCAATCCTCAGAGGGGTGGGGCAGAGGAGTCGGATGCAATTCTGCTTTCAACACGAAATGTGTCATCACTTTCAAACCAACCAATCATGTAGTGTTTCCATTTATTTGTCTAACCCCTGTATATTACTGGTTACCAAATTATCCACAATATCAGTAAGACATTACAGAGGGTTGATTACATTCTTTGTGTTACCTGCTCACTGATGCCTGTTCCTCCATACACACAAACTACTCTCAGTCCCAGTGGCTTGGAGAATTTCTTGCACTCTTTTGTTATTTGCAAAGCAAGCTCTCTTGTTGGAGTCATTATAACAGCTGAAAATGAGAGGGCAACTTAGCATTAACAAGAATCTTTTACAGTTCAACTGTAGTTATTTTCAGTTAATTATATACCCTATTAGCCACAATATAAAACAATTTTATATGCAATTATTGCCTACAAAAACAAGTTATTACCTTAAAAATAATGAAGACTTCAACTCTGTGATGCACAATGTGCAGAAAGGATATTTGTGTAAGGGGCTCTCCTGGCTATTCATGTTATTTCATAATGACATGTGCAGGCTTTGGAGACCTTTCCCAGGATTCCCACTTCTGCATTCACTTAGGCTTACATTAGCATAAACAATTTATGCCTTTTTTAGTCACTCATTCTAAAAAATACCCCTGAACTGCCATGTCAGTACAGGTTGTTGCAACTTCTTTCAGTAAATTGGGGGGTGGGGGGAGGAAAAAAAAAAAAAAAGATTTTTATACTCACCATTTTGGAGTCTGCAAGGGCACAGGTTATACCCTACCTCAATCTTTTAGCAAAGCAGTATCAAGAGCCTGATCAAAAAACACAACGGTGTAGGACATGCGACCCTCAAAGGACTCCAGGTAAAGGATTTTGCAGGAGTACAAAAATCTTTCTTTTTCATCCAACAAGGAACACAGGAGTCTAACTTTCAGGAAGTCCAAAAGTAATCCAACTGAGGGATAGGCAACACAGAAACCAACTGCTACCAATTCCAAGGCCAAAAAATAGATGAGCTGCCTGCAGTTTAGAGTCAGACCTTGCACCAAAAGCAAGCATTCTATTTTTTTTTTTATAAATGTTTATTAATTTTCAACCAAAATACAAATTACAGTCATTTTCTCCAATTAAAAAGACAACTCAAAAACAATATCATTCACCACCATAATTATCTACCTGATAAAAACAATCTTTATTACTCCCCCCCCCCCCCGTCCCATCCTCCCTCCCCCCCACTCTGCATTTTCGCTCTTCTACACTATAGAAAACATTCAAAATATATCTGGAATCCATCTAAAGGGGTATTACATCTTCATATTTTTTAGACCCCACCTTCTCTCTATGATTCTTCCCTTTTTTTTTTCATTTTTTATAATATAACTCCATCTTATCTATATGCATATAATAATTGGCCCCGACGGCGGGGAACCGTCTTTCCGTCTCACAAATCTGATTCACTCTAACCATCCAGTCCTCCTCTGTCGGTGCTTCCTTTTTTTTTCCAAAACCTAGGGTTATCAAGCTCTTCGCTGCACTCAAAAAAATAATGCCATATGCCCAAATCCTTAAATAATTTCAATGGAAGCTCTGTGTTATGTAAAAGACATAGCTCTGGGTCTAATCTAATGTTAATTTCAGTGATCTTCTCTACTAAATGAATTATTTTCTGCCAAAAATATTTGTATTTTTGAACATTTCCACCATATATGATATAACGTGCCTATTTCTCCACAGCTCCTCCAACACATTGGTGAAATCTCCCCATTCATTTTGTGCTCCACTTTCGGTGTAATGTGCCATCTTACCAAACACTTATAATTTAATTCCACCTCTCTCATACTAATATTTTTGTGAATTAAATCTATATTTTTTACTCTGCATCTCCTCATCCATTTCCTTTCCTAAATCTCTTTCCCATTTCTCTATATTAGATTGGTTTTGTGCTCGTGTCTAACTCAGTGAAAATCTTTTATATATTTTAGCGACTCCATGTTTTCCCGTCACCCCGTGCTTCCAACAACCTTTCAAATGGGTTCCAATCCTTTCTAGTTCTCAAAGGCTTCGGGAGACTCCCAACAAAATGCTTTAATTGGTGATATCGTATCTCATCCATTCTATTGAAAACTTCTCCTTTTTTCTTTACCAGCTCCTTATATGATCCCAATTCCTCCCACCACATTAGGTCTCTCAGTTGCGCATCCTGCTTTATAATCCATTTCCCTGTGATGTCTTCTCTCCCCAAGGCAAAATATTCTGTATTCCTTAGTGACATTAACTGTGAATTAAAAACCCAACCCTTTTGTCTATGTAATATTTCCCATACTCTTAAGATGATTACAGTGTACAAAACGTGTGTTAACATCCAATCCCCTATATTGTGCTGGCACCCATACAACCCTACTTAAATTTGTTTCACTCAGTGTATTTTCGATTTTGACCCAACTTTTCCCTGGATTATGAGTCCAGTCAAAAATTCTCGCAATTATTACAGCTTTATAGTATCTCTTAAAATCTGGTAAACCTAAACCACCTCTCTCTTTATTTCTAGTCAGCATTTCATAACATATTTCTAGGGTTTTTTGTTCCTCCATATATATCTCGTTATTTTTTTTGAGTTCTTTAAAATATGCCTCTGGAAGTTTGATTGGGATCATTTGAAATTTATATAAAACTTTAGGCACAATTACCATTTTTATCAGATTTATGCGACCTATCAAAGACGGATTTCCACTTCCCAATCTCTTTAATTCTTCTTTAATCTCATTTAATAATGAAATATAATTAGATTTATACATGTTTTTAATTGAGGTGGACATTTTTACCCCTAAATACTTTAATTCTTTCCAAACAAAGGGGAAATCCTCTTGTATTTTTTCTTTTTTTCACTGTTTTTAAGGTTTAGATTTAAGATTTCGGTTTTTGTCGGGTTAATTTTTTCCCATATTCCATATTCCTTCAGTGTCCTCATTAGATTTGGAAGTGATATCCTAGGATTTCCAACATAGAACAACAAGTCATCCGCATAGGCCGCCACCTTATGTTCTCTATCTCCTACCCATATTCCCTTTATATCTATGTTCTTCCTTATTGTAGATATTAATGGTTCCAACGCCAGCACATACAACAATGGGGACAGTGGGCATCCCTGTCTTGTTCCATTTGACATCTCGAAAAGCTCCGATCTTCCTCCGTTAACCGTGATAGCTGCTGAAGGTCTCCTATATAACTTTCCAATCCACTTTCTCATTCTATCTCCCAACCCTAGCGCTTCCAAGGTGTCCATCATAAATCCCCAGTTCACTCTATCAAATGCTTTCTCGGCATCAATTGACATTAACAACACCGGGGTTTTCCCTTTTTTACCTTCCTGAATGAGCAACAATGATCTCATCCCGTTGTATCTAACCTCTCTCCCCGGGACAAAGCCCACCTAGTCCCCCATGTATCCAGTCCGGCATCAAATCCTTCAGCCTATTTGCCAAAAAACCTTTGCGTACAGTTTAGTATCTACATTCAACAGTGTAATTGGTCTATAACTTGCACACTGAGAGGGATCCTTATCTTCCTTATGAATTAGTACTAGATTAGCCTGTAGAGATTCTCCCCTCATTTCCAACTCACCTCCAGAGCATTCATGTACATCTTCAATTTGGGTATTAGCAACTCTTTGTATTTTTTATAATATTTTACAGTATACTAATCTGGCCCCGGGCTTTTCCCCGTCGTGGTACTTTTTAATGCTGTTTTTATTTCCTCTAACGTAATTTCTGATTCTAGGGAGTTCAATTGTACTTCACTCAAATTTAATAGACCTGCATTTTTTAAGTATGTTCTTCTTTTTTTTCTATTTACTATTTCGACTTTATTTAAAGTATCCTGGGGTATGATATTATACAGCTTACTATAATATTCCTTGAATACTCTAGCAATGTCTTTAGTTGAGTGAACCAGTTCACCCTTGGGGTTTTTTATTTTTTCTATATAATTCCTATTTTTCTTTTTCCTTAAGGCTCTCATTAAATACTTTCCCGGCCTATCTCCCCATCTATACCTTTCACTTATTACTTTATTAAAGACTCTTCTTTTTTCCTCTTCCATCACATTCTCTAATTCTTCTTTCTTTTTTATTATTTTCTGCATTATCTCCTTAGATATTTTCCTTTTATGAGCCTGTTCAAGATCGAATATTTCACTTAGAAGTCCGTTGATCTTTTCCCTCCTTTCTTTTTTCTTTTTTGCCCCTATTGCAATAAGTAGCCCTCTAATGTAGGCCTTATGGGCCTCCCACAACGTAGCAACCGACACGTCCTCTGTATCGTTCTCCACAAAAAATCGTTTAATTTCCATTTCGATCTTGCGATCGATCTCTTGATCCAGAAGAAGTGCCTCATTCATCCTCCAAACTAAGCCTCCTCTCTGCCCCATCTGGACTTCATTGCAACCAGAGCATGATCTGATAAAGAACTTACTTCAATTTTTACTTCCACCACAGACTCTATAAATCGATGTTCTACCAGTATATAATCCAATCTAGAATAAGTCTCATGTACGTGTGAGAAAAAAGTATAATGTCTATCTTTCATATGCCCAATTCGCCATATATCCACCAACTGGCATTCATGCATCCATTTCTTGAATGATCTCAGGGACCCCGCTTTCCTCCTTACTCACAGAAGTAGTATCGATCCGCAGGTCCATACAAACATTAAAGTCTCCAGCCACTATCAGACAGCCCCTTTTAAAATCCATCAACTTCTTCAATACTCCCCTCAAAAATAATCTTCCGGTTTCTTATTTGGGCAATATATGCTGGCTATTGTACCATCTGGAACCTTCCATCTGGATCCGTTATTCTCTTCTCCAACTCAAACCTTATATTCTTTGCAAAGCCTATTGCTACCCCTTTTGCTCTTTTAATTGGTGAATCTGCATAATACCATACCGGGAAATATCTAGTCTTCAGCCTAAACATTCGACTCAATCCCCAAGTGTGTCTCCTGCAGGAAAACCACCGAAGATGTTCTGTGTTGCAATTCTTTTAAACAACCTAAATCTCTTCCCAGAACTACACAACCCCTTTACATTATAAGTTACAAACTGGACTTCTTCCATATTTCCCTACACCTGTTAACTCCTTCTGTCTTCTTCCACTCCTCTACCATCTCCTCCTATTCCGCAGAGTGTTAACCCCTAATACCCCCCCTCCCCCCCAACACCCATTATCCCAACCCTCTCCCATCCCCCTCCAGCCCCCTCCCATCCCCCCTCTCTTCCTCCTTAGGCCTCTTATTTGCCTATG